GACATATTGTCAGGAGGGACCAGTCACTGGAGAAGGATATCATGTTTGGTAAGGTGGAGGGTCAGAGAAAAAGAGGAAGACCCCCAATGAGACAGATTGGCCAAATGGCAGCATTGATGGATTCAAGCGTGCCAACAGTAGTGAGGTTGGCCCAGGATAGGGCAGTGTTTCATTCTGCTGTATATAAAGTCGCTATGAGTCGGCACTGACTCGATGCACCTAACAATATATATAACCTTGATATAATTCCATGTTTGAAATATTTCCCCCTTCTGTAGATTGTCTTTTCTCTTTGACAGTGTCCTTTGAAAAACACACATTTTAAATTTCAACGAAGTGCAATTTATTTGTCTTTGGTTGCTTGTGCTTCTAGTGTCATGTGTAAGAAATAATTGCCTAATCCAAGTCACACATGCACATTTTAAACTATGTTTTCTTCTAAGAGATATAGTTTTAGTATTTACATTTAGGTTTTTGGTCCATTTTATGTTGGTTTATTTTTTTTTTTAATTTGGTGTGAGGTAGGAGTCCAAATTCATTCTTTTGAATGTGGAGATCCAGCCTGTACACCCATTCCTCACTTAACAACATGGTTAGATTCCAAAGACTTCATTGATATGGGAAAATCAGTACTGTGGGAAAAAGAATGCTTGGTAAAGTAGGTCAGCAAAAAAGAGGAAGACCTTTAACAAGACGGATGGACACAGTGGTAGCAACAAGTGGCTCAAACGGAACAACTATGAGACTGGTGCAGGCCCTGAGAGTGTTTCGTTCTGTTGAGCACAGCGTCACTATGAGTTGGAACTGACTTGATGGAACATGTGACATCAGGTTGGTCACATCCGATTATAAAATGAAGGAGCACTATAGAACTGCCATATTGTATCATTATGTTGTTGTCAGGTGCCAACTGAGTCGGTACCAACTCATAGTGATCTTTATGCACAGCAGAACGAATCACTGCCCGATATGGAGCCAACCTCACTATTGTTTCCACACTTGAATCCATCGATGCTGCCAATCCATCTCGTTGGGGGTCTTCCTCTTTTTCTCTGACCCTACACCTTACCAAACATGATATCCTTCTCCAGTGATTGGTTCCTCCTGACTATGTCTGAAGTATCAGAGACGAAGTTCGGTCATCCTGGTCTCCAAGGAGCACTCTGCCTGTACTTCTTCCAACATGGATCTGTTGGTTCTTTTGTCAGCCCATGGCACTTTCAATATTCTCTTCCAACACCATAACTCAAAGGCATCAGTTCTTCTACTGTCTTCCTTATTCACTGTCCAGCTTTCGCATGCATGTGAGGTAATTGAATCATTATTGTATCATTATATAACCTGCCAAACCACTGTGAATTGTGGTCCAGCCAAGCTGACACATGACCTGAACATCACAGACAGTGTTACTCTCGCCTCACACCCTGGCGTTCATCACGTTCTTAATTTGAAAAATAGTTGGATTATATATATATATATATGTATATATATTTTACTATTGTCATACAGGCCCAGCATCAGATAATGGGAAGCCCATAAATGAGGAGTAAGTGTATAGTTTTCAATCACCAGCAAGCAGTCAACATAATGGCTTTGTCTTGGTTTCCTTGTCACTGACTCGTGACTGAAGCTTGAGGGAAGCCATAAATGTATCCGATAGGGAATGTGGATGGACAGTACTACCTGCCCAGGAGAGCAGATAGTCTCCTGCAGTCAGCCAATTCTACTGAGCCAGACGTCAGGGATCTAAACTTGTCTTTAACCTCTCTGTCCCACACTTCATCATTGCAACGATTACTGGGAGAGGACTTCTAGTGTGGTGCATTGGATCAGGACTGGCCTGCGAACCACAAAGTAGGCAGTTGAGACCCACCAGCTGCTTCTCGGAAACGCTACACAGGGTCGCTGTGAATCAGAGCCGACTCAGTGGCACTAACAACAACATTACTGGGAGACCAACTCACCTAATCGCATGAAAGTGAATTTGTTCTTAGTTTAGAAAGAGAGAGAAGTTGTAAGAGACCAATGCAAACTATTGTCCTGTCACTGAGCTTCACCAGCAGACCCTGTGTGAGGTGCAGCAGGCCTGGCTGTGAGGGCACTGGGTGGGGGGAGGCACATGGACGAGAGACAGGCCCTTCCCCACAACCAGCTGAGGGTCTGCCTCAGGGATGAATTAGGGTAGTTGAGTCACCTGGGGAGCTTTTGAAACCATTTTGATCCTGGGCTCTACCTAGTTAAATTATAAATTTTGGTCTCTCAAAGGAAGTTCTTTTCAAAAGCTCTGCAGGTCCACAGGACATTCTAATATACAGCCACTGACAGATGTTTCCTTAAAACCTTAGATGAGCTCATGAAGTATGAAAAGCTTAGTTTGGGGTCACTCCTTTGGTAGCAGACCTTAAGAAAATGATTACAATTCAACTCTGCAAATAATCCAAAACTTAGCCTTTGGTGGAAGTAACTAACCCCACCCCCAGCCTCACCCCCAATTAAAAAAGAAAATGACAAGTCTTCTTCCGCTGACGTGATGAACTTGCGAGTCTTCCGTCATCAATCTTAAACACCCTGAGAGTTTAGATTTACTTTGATTACCAGTAAAATCAAGTTTTCCCTCTCAACGAGTTGGCACTTTATTAAAGACACATTCTTGCTGTTCTAGGAGAAGATAAACCATGAACCCATCAAAGACCACCTTCCTTTGTCAAAATTTGAATGGGCTTGGTTGAACTGACATTCTTACCATATAAGAAAGCCCAGAGAAAAATTAACATGGGGGATTTTCAGTAAAGGGGAAAAAAAATTCACAGTTCTTTAATAAAAGTCACATAATAATAATTACACATTTCCGTTTCTGCCAAAAAAATCATGTTTCAAAATGCCTAGCATCTCTTCTAGTCAGGGTTATGTGGACATAATTTAAAATCTTTCTGATAAATATATCGCTGCGCTGCATCCGGCTTGAATAACACTCTTCAAAAGGGTGTATGCTGGAGCCTATTTAAAACAAGTGAAAAAAGAAGGATGTTAGGGTCCTCTTTAGCTGTAAGCTGCATGGTTAGCTTGGCAGAGCCTGGACTTCCATGGATAAAGAAAATAAGATCTGAGAAACGATTCCATTTTTTGGTGGGGAGGAGGGAAGAAGACCTTTGCAAAAATTGGAAAGTCTCTGGTACTAGGGCCTGAATATTCAAACCCTCTGCCTTCTCACAGTAAAGCCGATGCCAGGAAAAGGGCTAAGGGTCTGCGCAAGAAGTTAGGGTTCTAACTGGGAGTAATACTGCCGCTTGTTTTATGTCCAAGCAACATAACTGGTTTTCTTTCTTTCTTTAGCCATCACTTTACATTTCCTTTCCTTGGAACAGAAACTCTCCGGCCCCAAAGCACTGTGGGCAAACAGGAACAGGCGGCACCTACCAATTCAGCGGCGTGGTTGAGGCCTATATCGTGGTGCTCAAGCTCTTCGTCCCGAAATGTCTTTATGACCTGAGGAGATCACACAGCACAGGAGAAATGAGCCAGCACTCCACCTCTCTCAGGGTTCTATCTTCTTCTGGAAGCGAAAGCCTGACCCCAGAGGTTAAGACAGAGTCAGCACACCTTTCCTATAAAGGCCCAGAGTGTAAATACTTTAGCTCTTTGCAGGCCATTTGGTCTCTGTTATGACTATTTGATGACGTCATTCCCATGGCCGTCAAGTAGATTCCGACTCAGAGTGACCTTAGAGGACAAACTACCACAGTCCCAGGGGGTCTCTCAAAGCTGCAATGTTATGGCAGCGTTCTGCCACATGGCTCTCTGAAGAGGCAGCTGGTGGCTCTGAACCACCATATGTTGGTTACCCATCGAGTGCTTAACCCAGTGTGTCACCGGAGCTCATTCAACGACTACTGTGGCGTGAAAGCACCCATACATGGTACCAGGGCCAGTCCAGAATTACTGGTGCTAGGGTTCAGTTCATACATGCACAGGCTCATTCCAAACAACACCTGCTTAACCCTGTCTCTGCGTTCAGTGGCTGACCACAGACAAGTTCTCTCAGTACTACACTTGTCTTAATTTCATCAGGGGACCTTCAAAAAAAGGTCCAATCGAAACAGTGGCTTCTGAGGGGACCTGCTGGGCCACTTCAGTTCTGAGCAGAGAGGTCAGCTCAGAAGGTTTATGGTGGCTGATTTTTACAATTCCAAAAAAAACCTTGCTAGGTTTTTTCGAAGGACACAGGACAATCACTGGGGATTGTTCAGAAGACATTTTAAGAAAACGGAAAAGTACATTGGTGAGGAAAAGGCCAGGAACATTATACTGAGGTGTCTTTATCTTCATGACGATGCACCTGCCTCATTCTTGGAGGGCAGCAGGGCCTGTCCTATAAGCATTGCATTGGGAAACCATATCCCATCCACCCCACAGCCCTGCTCTCGCCCCTTCAGATTTCTTTATGTTCCCACAACTCAACATTTCAAAGGAATGTGATACGAGTTCTGTGAGGATGCCCAAATGGCCGCTTTGGTGTGCTCTATAGCAGAGGGCAGCATTCTTCAGGGAGGGGCAGAGAGATAGAAGCAGCGCCTTCAGAAGTACCTGGAGCCTAGATGGAGGAGCTGTCGAGGACTGATGCTGTCCTCCCTACAGGGCTCTCTGATTGTGCAGCGATATTGCGGGCCTCACCTGGCAGATCTTCCCTTCTTCCCTTGAAACAGCCCCTCTCCAAGGCAGGGTCAAATACCTGAAGAAGGTCCTGGTATTTTTCAGGGTCCTCTTCCATCAGCGTCCTGATCTGGTTGTTATAGTGATGGGCTATGGATTCTTCCACAGCCACGGTACAAGCCATCGCGCCTTCCTTCCCGAGCAAGGCAGTGCCAGCTCCTGGAATGGTCAGATCAGAGCAGTAACGCATAAGGACAGAGATTCACATAAGGGCAAGGGTTCACAACCTCGACACTGTCGACATCAGGGGCCAGAGAGGAGACTGAGTTGTAGGGTGCTCTGTGCACGGCAGGGGGCTCAGCAGCATCTCCCAACCTCTGCTCTACCTCTCAGGTGCCAGTAGTGACTCCTCCTTTCAGGTGAGGAAACCAAAAATGCCTCCAGACAGTGACTGCCAATGTCCTGTGGGGTGCAACTTCACCCTGCTGTAAGTGCTGAACCCTGAGTTTCTCTTCCCAATGCTCTCTCTAGTCCGATGACAGTGGCAGCAGAAAGCCTTCGTTTGGGGTGAGTGTGTCTGACCCCCATGTACCAAGTACTCTTCTCCCTTTGCAAAGGAGTGATGCGATTGCAGGTTTAGAACCCTCTGGCAGACAAGAGCATCTTGGCTACCATGGAGTTACACTTGTTTTCTTCCACCCTCTTGTGTCTACTTTGTCCCTTCAACAGAGTGACTATGAATCGGAATTGATTTGATAACAAGAGAACTGGTTTTTTGGGTTCCTACTTATGAACAGGGTAGCGCTGTAGGATCAGCACTGGGCTGCTAACCACAAAGTCAGTGGTTCAAACACACCAGCTGCTCATCAGAAACCCTATCCAGGGTTGCTATGAGTTGGAAGTGACTCGAGGCGCTAACATTCATCAACATACTGGTTTTGAGATTCAATCTTAAAGGAATTTAAGTCATATCCAGGTTAATTTAACTTTTAGAAAAACAGTAAGTAATAAAAAACAATAGGAACAAGACAAGAATTATAGGAATTGGGCCTCGAATGATTCAATTATCCAGAACAACACTCAGATACTTACCCAGGGCAAACCCCATCACATTCCAAAAAGGCATCAGAATTGTTGGTCGGACCCTAAATGTAACCATCAACTCATTGAACTTCTTCAAGTGGTCCTTTTCTTGATCCCACATTTTCTGTAAGAAATATAAAGCCACTGAGCAATCTATGGAAGCCTAAGGCACACACCAAACATATTCCATGCCTTGCCTGCGTGGTACAAAGGAAGCAAAACGGAAATGGAGACAATGATGAATGGCAACATCCCCCATTCCCCTCAGAGCAGTGACCATAAAACCAACCAACAGACTAAAGGACATCTTTGTGTTTAGCAAAGCAGAAGTGCCTGCCACCTCACCTGAACAGGACCATGCCAGACTCTATTCCCAGCAGAGTCCCCAGACCCACAATGGGGACAAGGAACCACAATCAGCCCGTTCCAAATTAGTCAGGGCGGAACTTCACTGTTGTGTGCGTTTCCTTCCAGCAAGCTAGAATACAAGTATCACTTAAATCCATAAAGGGAGAAGATGAACAGCAGCTACCATTTACACGGTGCCACCCCCCTCAAGGAGCTCTGGTAGCGTAGTGGTTACGAATCGGGCTGCGAACCTTAAGGTCAGCAGTTCGAAACTACCAGCCACTCCGCGGGAGAAAGATGAGGCTTTCTACTCCCGTAAAGATTTACACCCTCGGAAACCCTGTGCAGGGTCGCTATGGGTCGAAACCGACTCGACGGCACTTAACAACAACAACAACAACCCCCCTCAAGTGCCAGGTGCCATCAAGTAGCGCTACATAGAGAACTCATTTATTCTGCATCTTGTGATGTCTGAATGAACTCTTATTATCCCAATTGAAGCACAGGGAGGCTAAGTAACTTGCCCAAGGATTTAGAGGCCATTTAACTTGTACAAGTGCCTATTATGGGCTGGCCCTGCATTAGTTGCTCTATGTCACCTCATTTACTTCTCACCCTAACCCAGTGAGATAGGTGGTATCATACCATCTGGCAGGTGTGGACGGAAATGGAGTCCCAGAGAAGTCATGTGACTTCCCAGGGTGAGACAGAGCTGGACTGTAACCTGGGGCTTCAGGCAGCACAAGACCCTGGTCCTTCCACCGCCCCAGCGCAGACTCTGAGCACAAAATACGTGGGGGCTTCACCAACTTCACGGACAAATGGAATTCAAAGATAATGGAACTTTTCCACAAACGTTTTGAAGCGCCCTCACACATTGGCACTTTTGAGCTACAATGGGCAGGACACACACGTATCTTCAGCTACAATGGTAACCCTCTGTCGGTTCTCATAACTACCTCCCCAACCTGTGACCTTTTCAAGTTCCAGATATACGCGGGGGCTTCAAAGGTTTGTGGAAAACTTCCAGTATTATTAAGTCCCATCTTTCCACGAACTTTCTGAAGTCCTTCGTATTTTATATCTGTTTATGTGCTACACATCTATGTGTGTGTTTCTACATCAAAAGAGTAAGGTTTTTTCATCCCATCCCCAAGAATCAATTTTCATTTCCTGAGGCCTTCTGATCATCTGTGCAGAGAGCATGTGAAAGAGCTACGGAGCACCCACCTGGATGACTGGCCCGACACTCGTCCGGCCCAGCACGGCCATCTGCCCAGCATAGATGCGGTTGGCTCCATATTCGCCAGCGTGATCCACCCGGATGATCCGATCCACAGTTGCCCGGTTGATATTGTCTAAGGTCATTCCTGAACTGTAAGATCTGGCAGCAACCTTCCTTCCACAAGCTGCAATGCAAGCGTTTACTCTTCATTACTCTCAGGATGGACCCTTTCCCAGACAAGAACACTTTACCACCAAAGTCACAAGTAAGCCCCTGAGGGCAAGGTATGTCCAGCATTGTCTTTTGTTTCACCTGTAGTATTTTTAAGAAAAGTGAATTAGTTCCCAACATTTAAAACCCGGACAATTTCATCTAAAGCTTTGGATGTCTGGCTTCACTTGAGCTATCTGAAGACCCGACGACAATGTGCCTGTCTTCTCATCTCTGGGTGGTGGGTGGTTCTCCAGCTCACCTGCCCACCTCTGCTCTGCTCCTGCATGTCAGTGGCTCCCAGTGCTGGCTTACACTGTAGCCCATTGGGAGCCCGCACTGAGATTCTAGAAAGTTCTCTGCATGAATCTGACCTGCAGTCAAGGTAGAATCCACAACTTTTAGTTCTAGTGGGCATTTGATCTCGATTCCAGTCCAGCCCAAGAGCTAGGTTTCCTCTCACTTTGGTCCAATTTAACTGAACTTTCTTGTCCTCAAAACATGAAGTCCTCAGGATTAGAGTTCATCTTTAAAGTCCATCATCCTAGCTGGAACACCTTCATTTTACTCTCGTAGCCTCATCTCGCACTTGTGGGGGCTTGCAGTGAGTTGCCCTTGCCACTAACTCAGGAGACCCCGTGAGGGCAGTAGAGCAGAATGAGCTACAGGGTTGTCAAGGGTGTGACTTTTTGAAAACAGATTGCTAAGCCTGTCTTTTGATGCACCCATAGTTGGTTCGAACCACCAACCTTTCAGCTAGTTGTTGAACATTGAACTATTTGAATCACCCATAGACTCCTGAGCCTTCTATTGTTGTTGTTGTTAAGTTCCAACTCATAGTGACCCTGTCTAGGGTTTCCAAGGAGCGGCTTTTAAACAACTAATCTTGTGGTGCAAACGACTTTGTGGTCCAATGCTTATCCTACAGCGCCACACTTCTTGTTAGATGCTGTCACGTCAGTCTGACTCATGTTGTTGTGAAGTGCCATCGAGTCGATTTTGACTCATAGAAACCCTGAATAGGGTTTCTGAGGAGCAGCTGGGGAGTTTGAACTGTCAACCTTGCAGTTCAAACCAATCTTGCAGTCCAGTGCATATCCAAGGACTTCAACCCTGTATAAGGTTTCCAAGGCTGAAAATCTTTGTGGGCACAGAAAGCCCTATCTATCTTCCTCCTGTGAGGCTGGTGGGTTTGAACTATCAACCTGTGGTTTGCAGTCCGGTGCTTATTCTATGGCACCCACGGTGCTCCCAAAGCCTTCTACTAGGGTAGTTCAAAAGTTCTTTCCCTAAGAGGAGGACTTGTGGACGACAGTTTGAAATATGAACAGCAACTGGTACTGACGTCACCTTGAAATAAAGCTCAGGGCTTCAGGCCAGCAAGACTTGTGGGTAATTTCTTTTCACTGAGGTTAATTTCAACACTCAGGAAATATGTGGGGAAAATTCACTGTGGGTATAGTTTGGTACTTTCATTAAATACACGTGTGTGCTTGTTAGCTCGGGTGACAGGGAGGACAATGCACTAGAAGAGGGAGGGAAGAAGGTCGGATAGATGTCGTTGCAGGGAGGAGACTGTAATCATTGAGATGAAACAAGGAGTATAACTGCTGAATGCAGAGCTGATATTCCTGTCTGTAAACCTTCACCCCATTCACAATAAAAAGTTAAAGAACAAAAACTGCTTTGGAGAAAGGTAATAAGGTAGTGGTGTTGTGGATTGAATTGTGACTTTAGTAAGATACACTGATATCCTAACCTCTGTACCTGGGGACGGAACAGGACACCATATCCAACAGAGAGCTTAGCCTTGCTGAGGTTCTAAATTCAGACTCCTAGCCTCCAAAATTCTGAGAATAAAAATGTCTGTTCTTTAAAGCCACCCCTTTGTGGTATTTTTGTTATGACAATAATAAAAATAGGCAACCAAGACAGGAAGGCTTGGTGGGATATAGAGGAAACCTGTAAGGTTACTCCACACAAAGGAGAACACACATGGAGTTCTGAGGCTTCAAGATACCACTTCAGCCCACTTGTCTATGGGACCAGGAAGTGGATGGAGTCTCACCCGTGCCCAGTGTACCAGACCTGTGCCGTCAGACAGTGGGGTCACTATAGTCTGTGGCTATGCTTTTATGCAGAAGAGATAGTCTGAGACATCTGACAAGCTCAAGTTTAAGGACATGAACCTCCCAGTAGAGAAGTGATGTTGTTGTGAAGTGCCTTCAAGTCAGTTCCGACTCACAGCAACCCCATATAGGGTTTCCAAGGAGCAGTTGGTAGGTTTGAACTGCTAGCCTTGTGGTTCACAGTCTGGTGCTGATTCTACAGTGCCACACCAGGAGTTCAGTAGACAGGTGAAGCTCAGTAACTGTACCAGAGGAATTACTGATGGTCCTATTTTTTTCAAAATAATCTCATTTCCTTGTGTGATTTGTTATCACCAAGAAGATGATGATGTCAAAGAACATTAGACACAACCTGTTATTGTTGTTCAGTGCCCTTGAGTCGGTTCCAACTCACAGCAACCCTGCATAGAGATCCAACGAGAGGCTGGTGTGTATGAACTGCTGGCCTTGTAGTCCAGTGCATGATCCTGCAGCCACACTAGGACTCCTGGTGCTTTAAAACTCCACCATCCACTGAGAAACAGTAAGAGACTGAGGACAGAGGATGAGTTCAAAGAAACAGCTGACTTCGGACAGATAATAGTGACGACTTGCTTGTTTTTTAAAACATATTGGGTTGTTCTCTAATACTGCACTGCTTCTAGACTCAGGCATCCAATGAATGATTTTGGGGGATAATTGAATACTGTTCTATTTGCCACATTCATAGTCTCCGCAAAATATCTTTATAAAGTTTGGGGTGAGCCACAGAAAGAGACTGGATGTAGATGCAGAAGATATATTCCGGATCTCTAACACTAACCTTGGAGAAATCAGAACGGCCATTTCATATAGTTAAATCATCAGGTTACTTCCTTTTTAAGAGAAACCACACACATTGAGTTATTATAAGGATGGGGAGCCTTGGTGAGGAGTGGGCTAGGCAGTGGGCTGCTAATTGCAAGGTTGGCAGTTCAAATCCACCAGCTACTCTGAGGGAGAAAGATGAGGCTATGTGCCCCTGTAAAGATTTACAGCCTCAGAAACCCCAGTGTTTCTATGTTGTTGTTAAGTGCCATCAAGTCAGTACAGACTCATAGCGACCCTGTATAGTGTTTCTGAGAAGCAGCTGGTAAGTTTGAACTGCTGACCTTGCAGTTCAAACCTACCTTGTGGCCCAATGCTCACCCTACAGCGCCACAACAGGTATAGTCCCTATAAATTGGAATCAATCTGCTAGCACTGGGTTTGAGATTTTTGTGTTATTTTGGCAATAAAGTAAGAAATTGTTTTTGCTGTTTGTTCTCACTAAGTCAGTTATGACTCAAGGCGTATAACTGTGCTGTCTTCCAGATGCCTCTAGATGAGTCCAACTTCCAACCTTTCATCTAGTACTTGAGTAACAAACCACCCCGCCCCACTCCCACCAAATATGTGTTATAAATCCCAACATCTATGCCCGTGGTGGAGTCCTGGTGTGGGGCTGTGGGATAAGGCACTGGATTGCAAGGTCAGTTTGAACCACAAATTTGATGGTTCAAATTCACCAGCCGCTCCTCGGAAACCCTATACATGGTCACTATGAATCAGAACCAACTGGACAGCACTTAACAACCAACAATCCTAAATACCTTCTTAATACTTGCTCATCTCGCTTTTCACCAAAAAGGAAAAGTCTTGGGTTCAAGCCTTAGGAGATAACAGTATCTAGCAGAAATTTAGCAACGTTTTTGTTTTCAGTGTATTCATTTCTTTTGGGTTTTATGATAATCCATTTGGTACTGGTTTTCCCTTTACCATAAAAGACTTCATTCCCGTGAAAGAACTGTTGTTGTTGTTAAGTACTGTGGAGTCGGTTCCGACTCATAGTGACCCTGCACAGGGTTTACGAGGCTGCAAATCTTTACAGGAGTAGAAAGCCTCATCTTTCTCCCGTGGAACAGCTGGTAGTTTCAAACTGCCGACCTTGAAGTTAGCAGCCTGATTCGTAACCACGACGCTACTAGAGCTCCTTCGTGAAAAGAATAGTCGGTTTTAAAACGGGACTCAGTTATAGGTAAGCAAAGTACAAGTGGTTTTGCTAGAAGGCAAAAATCCTCTTCCAGGTGGCACAGAATGATTTAACTTTGAGAAAACGACCTCACAACTTTTCAGAGGCAGCTCAGAATTAAGGAGTAAAGGAGGGGGAGCCAGCATCCAAACCCAGCTCCCTACTCCAAAAGCAAAGCTCCTTACAGTACACTGTTGTGTTGTTGTTGTTAAGTGCCTTTGAGTTAGTTCTGACTCATAGCAACCCTGTATAGGGTTTCTAAGGAGCAAGTGGTGGGTTTGAACTGCTGATCTTGTGGTTCACAGTCCAGTGCTGTACTGTACACCAGGAGTCCTCCAGTACACTAGGGCATCTCAAACTTTGCAGGAGCTACTAATGAAGGTCTTGTTAAAACAGACACTGCTAATCGGTGAGTGTGGCGCTGCTGCTTAATGAGCTGGACTGCAAGGCTGGTTTGAAGCGCAAGGTAGGCGGTTCAAGTTCACCTGCCGCTCCTTGGAAACCCTATACAGGGTTGCTATGGGTCGAAACCGACTCGACGGCATTTAACAACAACAGTTGGTGGGGAGCGAGAACCTGCATTTCTAACAGGCTTCCAGGTGAAGCCGATGCTGCAGGTTCAGGACTACCCTCTGATTAGTGAAACGCTAGGCTTGGAATCGCCAACTATCCCCAGCCAAGTCTCGGACCACGCCCCATGACGTCACTGCAAGGTGTTCAATTACGTCATTCTCCCAAAGAGCCTATCCAGACCGTCAAGTGTCCCCGCCTATAAGCACGCCTTTACAGCCATTCCCGCCGCGAACTACAGTTCCCACCCCGCGACTCCGCCCCGCTACACGCCAGCCGCGTAAGGTCACGCAGTCGCACGGTCGCGTCCCTATGACGTAAATGTCTCCCCCGTGACCCTTCCAGATACTAGGCAACAATTCTCTAGTTCAGAGGCCTAACGCGTGGCTGCGATTCTGTCTCCCGCTTTACCTGAAAAGGGCCGCCAAGGACCCATGCACAGTTGCCACAGAGGACGAGCCGCTGTCGCCCCTGCGCAGCTCATTGTCCCCGACAACGAAGCAGCAATGCCTCACAGAACCGGGCCAAACGTGACCTTGGCGATGACTGATGACGCATAGGCGATGTTAGGAAGACGCAGTTTGTCTTTGCCTTAGTGGAAACACCCCTGGTTCCCAAGCCGCCTTTCGATTGGATGAAAACGATAAATGAAAAGATGCTATTGGATGTGACCACTATCAATTACTAGGGTGATAGTCTTTGAGTTACTATGGAAATAAAAATGCTAAGTTGCTCTTTCGGAGAGGTTTTAGACGGAATCAAAATTCGTCACGTAGGTTCCAGGGAAAGAGGACCTTGAAGGAATTATTTAGTAACAGTTCTGACTCATAGTTATTCTGTATGCACCAGAGCACTGCCCGGTCTTGCCATTCTCACAATCAGCCGCTGTTTCAGCCAGTCAATCCGTCTTTAGCCTTCATCTTTTCCCGCTCACCGTCTTCCAGGGACTGGTCCCTCCTGATAACACGTCCAAAGTATACGAGAAGGAATTTTGCCATCCTCTCTTCTAATGAGTATTCTGGCTGTATTTCTTCCAAGATAGATGTATTTGTTCTTCTGGAACAATACTTCTTTACTAATACCAAAATTCAAAGGCATCAAATTCTTCTGTGGCTTTCCTTATTCATTGCCCAGTTTTCACATGCAGATGAGGGGTTTGTTTTTTTCCTGCCCACTTTACTGTTGGTATAAGCATCTATGGATACAAAGATTTGTTTTTGTGTGTGTGAGAAAAGGATAGAGATTTAAGTTGAGCCAAAGGTTTGGGCTTAGTCCTCAAAGTGACATCTTTGTCTTTTAATACTTTAAAGAGATATTTTTTTGGCGCAAAAACGACAAAATTAGGTAAGACAATTCTGGCATAACTGCTCATGCATACATACCCTGCACATATCATGACATTTCCAGAAGTGAATTTCAGCCAAAGTCACCCTCATTCAATAGTCCAAAACGTTACTTTTCCTATTTGTAAAATAAGGTCTGAGCCAGGATCAAGAAGTTATGGATTGAGGTTGGTAGTAGTCAGGAAATAGTAATCAGAAAATAAACAACTGAAACTGTATGTTTGCTCTGGGACAATTCACCACAGGAGTTCCTTATAGTCCCTCTGAGCCCAGGTACATGGCTTTCCAGACAGGCGGAGGGCTACATGGCTGCCACAGTGCAAGTCCCCAGGCCACCAGGCAGCAGAACAGTGTGTGTGTGGGTGTGTTACCAGGAGAGATTTGCCCCAACCTGGGGCTAAGCCCCGATTAGGTCCTTTCTTTTTTTTTAAATAACTTTTGTGAAGGTTTACAGAGTAGACCATCAGTTTTACATTCAACAAATATACTTTGCTTCATTACAATGATTGCAATCCCCTCCATTTACCAACAGTATTTACCTCTATTTACTTTAACCATTGCATTCCTCCATGTCTCCTGCTACCTTCATCTTTCCTCGGTTCACCTCACTCTGGTTGTATATTGCCTGCCCTGTCACCCATGTTAACGTGTCTACCTCTAGCCCATGAATAATTTTCCCTCTCCCCGTAACCAACATAGATTTTTCTTTTATCATGAAAACTTTTTCTTATTTTTTTTTACATTGGTCTCATACAGAATTTGTCCTCTTGCAACTAATTTCACTCAGCATAATGTCCTCCTGGAGTCCTGGTGTGGCGCTGCGAGTTAATGTGCTGGACTGTGAAGTCAGTTTGAACCACAAGGTTGGCAGTTCAAGCTCACCAGCTGCTACTCAGAAACCCTACAAGGGGTTGTTATGGGTCAGAACTGACTCGACAGCACTTAGCAACAACAACAAAGTGTCCTCCAGGTTCATGCATGTTGTGATTAAAGAGATCTTTTGTATCATCCAGCATTGCCAACAGGGGCAAAAAATGGACACAATCTGAATATTGAACACGGGATGAATTGACCATAGAGATGCATGGAATTGATGCAATGAAGTGCCAGGTCATCATGAAAAAGAATGAGGTAGTTCTTATATGGAAAAACCTACTGTTGTCAAGTAGATTCTGAATCATAGTGACCCTATAGGGCAGGATTAGAGCTGCCCATTAGTTTCCAAGGCTGTAAGTTTTTTCACCTTTAAGGAAACTGATGGTCACAACTTTCTCTGGCACTGTTTCCTATGGAGTGGGTGGTGAGTATGAACTGCCAACTTTTCAGTTAGCAGACAACCACTTAACCTGGGCTCTTCAAAAAAATATATTCAGTAGAAATGGGGGAAGTATACAGAAATAAATATTTATACAGTTATACACAGAAGGGGGCTTCAACAAGTTCAAAGAAAAATTCCATTATCTTTTCATTCCATTTTTTTCCATGAACTTCTTGCAACCCCATCATATGTCTGCTTGGAAATTTGTTAGAAAAATCTAGAAGAATAAAATACACAAATTGTTGACAGTGGTTCCTTCTGGAGTGGGATGGGGTATACTTGAAATAACTAATTTTTTTTTAAGTTTATTTTAAACACACATACACACCCTTTCTAACAAAGCCAAAACCAAAACTCACAGCCAGAGTCAATTCTGACTCACAGTCACCGTGTATTGTATATAAGGTTTCTGAATCTGTAAATCTTTATAGAAGCAGAAAGCCGCCTCTTTCTCCCATGGAGCAGATGGTAGGTTTGAACCACCAACCTAGCAGTTAGCAGCCCAACACTTAACCCTTGACATTATCAGGGCTCCTTCCAATAGAGCCAAGGAGTCTTAAAAGCACTCGTCTCATGATGCAATCCAATACTCCTCTCTTCTTTGTGTGATTCTAGGTTAACAGTAATGGGCAATTGTAACTAAAGGCTAGTTTCCCTTCATTGCTTGATTGCTGACAAGAAGGTTCCATGATCCATGAGCTACACAATCACATTTAGAAAAATTGAAGATACTGTTTAATTAGTCATCTTAATGCACATTTGTTGGAGAGAGCTGCATTTAAAAATTTTTTTACAGATACCACCTGAAGTTATTAAAGTTGTCAAAACATAGGAAACAGACATTCAAGTAAGAGGTATACAAATCAGCAGCATTTATCCAAAACTAATAAGTTAGCATATGTCACTATCAGTTTTATAAAAGGAAAGAAAAAAAATAGAACAATGTATTTTTATTCTTCCCATCACACACACATACATACACACACACACAAAGAAAGAAAAGTGGACTGTCTTCAGAAACATATGAAGGTGAGAACACTTGAAATATATAAAGGCTTTAGACAGAAGAGTCAACAGTTAGAATTTGTTTTCTAAGTAAGGATAGAATGAATCTTTGTTAACTCAAAATTCCATGAAACCAGTTATTAGATTTAGAAATTCATAATCTGTAGCAAGATGGAGATTTCTTGAAAAGTTCGTCCGAGGTACAAACATATCCCTTGTTAATATTATTTTTGTAAAGAATAAGAAAATGGCTCTCTTGCAAAGGGACAAACATATTAGAAATATCACACTTATAGCAAGCTTGCTCTTCTCCTAGAATCAATAACTTTTGAATAATGGAGGGTGGTAGGAATTATTCTTTTGAAAACCTATACTCAACTTTAAATTCTAGCTACACGACCAAACCCCACCCCTACCCCCAAGAAAGGTTGTGAGTAAATGAAAGGAAGAAAAACAATAGGAGGAAAGACAAAATACTCCATGACAAAACCACACTACTTTGAAAAACATGTCTGGAAATATATCAGAGCTATCCATTTCAGGTAAGCTGCTGGTGAGGTACTTATTGCATATGGTTCTTATCAGAAATGTTAAGATATACTCCACACTTTTTATAAAATAAAGGCATATGCATTTAACATTTTAAGCATGGGGAAACAAACTATAGACCTTTGACATGTGAATGTGTCTATGGAAAGACACCAACATTCAGTGCAATTTAGTCGATTTTCACAGGCTGGTCGGCAACAAGCAACAGGTCAGTACAAGCTGAGCAGCAACCCACATCTCTGAACACATATACACAGAAAGCCACAGCTCACGTACTAACTAGGACGTTCCAGTTGAGCTCTGAAATGTTCAATGACCTTCAGAAATGGAGGTCTCAGTGCAGGAAGGGAGGTGGCATGTGGAAGAGCAGGAGTCAAACTCTGGCCCTGAATTTTGCTGGCACAGGTTCCTCTTCAAGTCTCCAGGACTCAGCACTGGAAAGTGAACCGAGGTTTGTGGACACCCAGCCCCTAAAGGCAGCTACCCTGAATAAAAGGCTGCAGCACAGAGAAATCAAGGTTGCCGACCTGCAGCGGTTCACTTCATTGTAAGACTTATTCTAGGGCCTTCGAGATCTGCTTATCCACACAGCAAGAAGTGGGCATTTCTCTCTCAGATTACTACTGTGAACATGAAACTATACCACCATCCTATGTTCTCACCTTCTGTCCCCAACATTGCGATTCAAGGATTTCTCTGCACTTCAAATACAAAGTCTCGTTCTAGGTCCACAGAATCATTAAAAAGGCTTACTCCTTCTAAAGGACCCGTCTTCAACCTAAACCCCTAGAAGTTGGTTCAAAAGATGGAATTCAGTCTCATGAATGGTTGGCTCCAAAGTCAACTTTATCAGCTTTTTAAAATGGAAAAGTCCTCTTCACTTCAATTTTGGTTGTCAAAGCGTACACCACTCAGTACACTGATTTTCAGGTACAATGGCTGGGGTCTATAGGAAGGAGTTGTGTTTTCACCCTGCTTTTTTTCTAAGTCACAACACCCTCATGTAGGGATGGGGTACCAGAAACACACCCAAACAGCTGCACACATGGAAGTGTTGGAAGGAAAAACCTGAACTCTAGAAAATACGTTTCAAAATTTCCCTTCAAAACTAAGATGCACTTTGAAAACCCATCAGAGTCACTAGGCCAGCTTATGTGTAAAACATATCAACGTCTTATAACACGTCTACTCGGTTCCTCATGTCCTTCTGGGCTTCTGTTAGCTTCTGGATCAAATATCGTTTGTCACGACTTTCCTAAAAAAAAAAAA